ATCAGGGCCAAAGAGAAATGTCAAAAGGAAGTGAGCGTGAGACAAAATATGGATGCTACCCATAATGCGTAAAGTTATGGAAAAAAAATCCACCATTTATTTTCTGGTGTCCGGGAGGGAAGGGGGTTGGGGTGTCGGGAATATATAGAGGGTGGGGGTAACGTAATTCTAGTGGCCCGATAACTCTCTCTTTCCCTCTCTCAAGAGGCGGGCGCCCCTCCCCTCCCCTTCCCCACCCCGAAGCGGCCTGCCAAGGGCTCCCGGGGGCCAGCCACGGGGCCAGCGGTCGGCGCCGCTGCTATAAGAAGAGGTAATTAAGTTTCTTCGAGCAAGTTTTTCTTTTGCAGTGAGGAGCGAACAGGCCGACAGAACAGTGCGGTTCGGAGAATTGCACTCGTCTTAGTGGATCTGCTGCAGTGTGCCTCTGGAGGAGGGCCCTGCATCCGTAAACCAATGAAAACAAAAAACAATAATACAGGTTACTGTCACGGCTACCTTGATGAAAATATTCACCACTGCCTCAAAATTCCTTCCCGCCGTTTTCGTTTCGCGGCTTGGGTGAAAAAAGGAACGGGCGGAGGAAGGAGGGGGTCCCCAGTGAATAGACAGCGGGAAAGCTGGAGAGTAGGGTGAGGAAGGGAGAGGGAGGGGGATGCTGTCGCACAAAGACTGAGACACGGAGAGAAAGAAATGAGGGGAGGGGAGTTTCTCGCACATCACCACTCCAAGCCGTCAGCCTGTCAGAATTTTCGGACGTCTCTCTCCGTTTCCCTTTCCACCCGCCCCACGCTCGCCCGACGACGCCCCTTCCTCGTCATCCTCGCCTACACCCCCACCTCTCGCTTTCTCTCCCTCGCTCACCCAAAGGGTATGTAAGCTGGTTCGAAAAACCTGTACAACGGTGTGTAAGCAATAATTGTGTGGGATTGTTCATGCAATGCGAAATGCGAGACAATTCAGGAGTGGGGGGGGGGGGACACGCCACACGGGCCCCGGGGCACAATTGAGGTATAGTGTACCGCATGCAGGCGTGTGGACGCGTTGCCTACTCGCAAGGGGCGCTAAACACTGGTAAAACAAGTGTTTAATTTTGCACGTCAATTGACGTTTAGGTTGAAGTGTGCATTTTCTCGACACTTTGTGGTGTCTAACTATGTTATACGTCAATTGGTGTTTAAACTTTCGACACTTCCGAAACGTATAGCAGCTGCACACCATATGGTTCC